TCTCTCTCTCTCTCTCTCTCTCTCTCTCTCTCTCTCTCTCTCTCTCTCTCTCTCTCTCTCTCGCGCGCGCGCGCGCACACACACACACACGTACACACGCCCTCATGCGCGCGCGCGCACACAGCGCACGGACACAGAGATCCCTCTCCGCATCCACGTTGCCTTTCTCTCGCTTCCCTCCCCTTCCACAGAGAGAGAGAGACGGAACACGCCAACGTTGCGCGTAAACCGTGCGTGACAACGAACCAATATGAGGAGAGGAAGATCAGCGATTTTCAGAGGACGAGGACAAACACTGCGACTCATTACCCGCGTATTCAACGCCGAACGAAACCTTGTTTCGCAACCATCGATCAGTAATATCAACGACCGCTACGTCGGGGACGTCGCGCGGCTCTCTATCGGGACTTTCAATTTCTTCCTTCTCCTTTCTATTCTCTCAATGACCAGAAGTCAAATCTGCGCCCTCCACGTGAAAAACATCGGTTTCCTTCTCCCTTCTGTTCTCTCAAGAAGGAGAAGACTACCACCTTCATCTCCTCGCGCTAATCAAAGCTGCGCTCTCCACATTAAAAAAGTGAAAACAAATCAGTTTCCTCCTGGTCTCGTGCCCATCGGCGGCTGACGTGTTTGTCAGTCGATCAGCTCAGGAGAGCGCAAGCGTTTCAAGACTGAGAAAAACAGAAAAGAGCGACGATCCTCGAGAGAGGCCACTTGGCCGTCAATTTGAGGTTCCGGGGTTATCATCCCCAAGGGGCACGAAAAGAAAGGTCGGTGATGGTGCGTCCTGGATGTATGATCTACGTTTCCGTGTAACCACCTCACGGAGTATGGCCCGCGCCGCACATGTCATCAAATGCACAAAAGACAAACTCTGGCCGCGTATCTTCCATGTTTTCTAGCGAAAGATTCATTCTTTTGCCCATTTGGTAAAAGTGATGTGGCGAGGCCTATATCTCGCGTCTCAAGCGCGCGCGCAAGGTAGATCAACCATTGCAGCAAGTATTGACGTGTTTTCCAACCACCTCATCAGCAGTTGCTGACGTGTTTGTGTCAACCACTTGCAGATGGCTGATAAGTTCGGCTGAGCACTTCATCAGCAGATGGCTGACGTGTTTGTCAATCATTTCATCAGCAGTGGCTGATGCGTTCGCCGCCCACTTCACCAGTGTCGTGCCAAGCGATGGCCAAAATGGCTCCGAAGCACGCATAGACAGAACGATACACTGCCAACCCACCATATTTCACAACTTGGCTCGCGCATCTTCCTGCACGTGGTTCAACCGTCTGCGCTCCGGCATCATCAGAAGGCGACCCACCGCCCCTTGCGTTACGGCTCCCAGTTCATCACAGCAGCAGCAGCAGCAGCAGGTAGATGTGTTTACCAACCACTTCATCAGAGTAGCTGCTGATGTGTTTGCCAACCAATTCGTCAGTTGTTGACAGCGGCTCGCGTGATTGCCAGTAAGGCCTGGGCCCTACGTATAGATACTAGCCATAACCTTTCTATGAACACGTGTAAAGGAGCGATTACCATCAGTAAACATCGAAAAAAAGAAACACTTCCTTCCACACAAGTGCTGATTCGAGAATCACACAAGTGCTAATAGAAAGAAGTCATGACCATGTCCAATACAAAACATCGAAAGCCATAAATTACCCCGTTACCTCTTCCCGGAGTCGAGCGCAAGAACATCCGTTCTCCTTCGGCTGCATCAGGGAAGGAGGGGGGGGGAAGACACACAGAGAGAGAGAGAGAGAGAGAGAGAGAGAGAGAGAGAGAGAGAGAGAGAGGAGATCGGTTGTACTTACCTCCGTGCACCCGGAATTCCAAGCCGCAAGTGGCTGTTTGGTACACCCATGAACGGCTGATAGACGCGCCTAAGTTCGAATCGTGATGGCGCCAGATGAATAAGGACCTCTGAATTACATGAGGCCGGTCAGTTCGATTCGACGATGATGCCTCAAGGCCATCGCCTTTTTCATAAAACAGCGGAAAAAATAAGATACAGAATTCCAACCCGCTACTCAAGTAGCGGAAGAAGGGATAAGGGCACGCAGGTGGCGTGTACTTTGGAGGCAATCAATCGAGTTCTGCCCGGCAAAGAAGAAATTGCCTTCGTCCCGCCAAAAGAAGGGATGGGCGCCACACCGCCCGTGACTCCTCCGCGTCTTCACTGCTACAGGATTCACGGTCACACTTCGGGCTGCGAGCCTCCGCCCTCGTCGTATGTCAGTCATGGCATCCACCGAAGAGGACCTACCCCGTGTAGAAAGCAATCCAGATTTTTAAATGTGGCTTCCTACACGGCGGGACGTCACGTTCAGATCGCGGGGCCAGGGTCCCACTACCGTTTGTGTAATTTAGACAATGGGCGACCACTGTGAACCGCCCACGGTAGTGAATCGGACGGTCCCTCCCTCATCCCGCCATATTGTTAGGGTTTTGGCAGAAAAGAAGGCTTTCTGGGTTGCCGTCTACACGGAGTGGTCCTCTCCTTCATTTTTTGTTTCTTTGGGGAAAAATTGCATCTGTACCCAGCCCCAGCTAGACCTTGCATCTATACCCCGCAAACAGCCCGTGGAAATCGTTTGCATACCCAAGACTGAGGTGGACTCAGGTTGGTGCGCCGATTGCGATTGTAATCACCTACTGGAATCCTCAATTGATGGGCATACCTAGGCAAATTATGGGCATACACGGGACTGAGGTACAGGGGCCAAATTTCAGTTATACCGAACTGCCCTGTGGCCTACATTATCCTCAGGGGCCATTTGGCAACAACAGTCTGGGCGCGTTTGTAGAAAATCTGGATTTCTGCATGTCAGATCTGAACACCTTCAGATTCAGGTGTTAAACCACCAGAACTTGACCCAGCTATCGATGCCGAGCCTGGAATGCCCCTGCGCGCCGATTTTCGCCGAAGCGGCGGGGTACCGTTTCAACATTGTTTTGGCTGGCACTTCCAGCCATTGAGGTCCGGTACCCCGAAGCCCTAAAGGCGCGGCGCGTTAACGGGAAAGCAACGCGGCCGATAGCTGGGTCAAGAACTGGTGGTTTAAGCCACCACTACCTACGAGCCTGTTTTTGCCGACCCTGATTTTCACTGCGCACCAAGTTTTTTTTTCTTTTTTTTTTCCTTGCGAACCAAGTTTTTTTTTCAAACAGACAACCACGAAGTCCATTATATGTCGGAAACTGGGTCCGGCGCACTCCCGACCAATCCCATGCCCGACTGCAGCCAAAATCAATCAAAGGTGGTCCCAAACCCTACCTACTACTAACCAACCATTGAGAAACATGCTCAATTCAAAGAAAATTCGAATTTAAAACTACAAAACTCAAAAAACAAGAGGCTCCCTACTACCCAGCACCCATGAACTAACCAATCAAATTGCTATCCCCCAATACCTAATTAGTACGTAATTAGTATGAGTAATTACTGACCAACCCTAATACCATAATTAAAACCAAATATAATTACGATTCCCCCATAAAAATACTCTCCATTTTTGTTTTTGCATTATTCTAATTAGTATTCCCTCATTACTCCACAACCGCCACCGATTCCTAGATAATAAGGCTATAATTCACCAATTGAACGAAACTAAGCAAACCCAGCATACAAAAAACAATTAAACCACCAGTACCTCGCCCAGCTATCAAGCCTGAGCCTCCCGCTACCGGTGAGTCGCGCCTTGTCGAGCCTAGAGCTACCGGTAGCGGGCTTATCTTCATTTCTATAAAAAAAAAAACAAAAAAAAACGGTATTCTAAAAAAGAAAAAAGCGAAGAAACAAAATGGGGGGGGGGGG